TAATTTTACATTGTTCCCATTAGTATGTACAGTTTTAATATTTTTGTTTGTTAGTAAAAAATAAGCAAAGGCCAAGTCTCACAGAATCAATAAACAAAGACAAAAAGTTTGTACCCAGCCCTTGTATCCCTCTATCTCTACCTTTGGAATGTCTGTTTTGTGCCACTGAATGTTGGAAGCCTTTAACTTCCTTTTCATTTGTACAGGAGTTCACGGCTAAGAATTTGCCTTAAATCTCAGATAATTTTGAATTGAACGTTTCAACAACACTGAAACAATCAGGACTTTAGCAGCTCTTGGTGATCAACTAAATGGCTTTTGCTAAAGAGATACGCATGAGTCTTTGGGTGGCCAGGGGTGGAATGTTATGGCTTATGTCTAGATGTCGCCTCAAAGTCTCATTCAGTCATAGGTGGGACTTTTTCAGAAGTGGCTGAATCTAGAGTGTGTGATGCTGGAATTGATTAATGGTGCAATGCTAGGCTCTAGAGCATTAGGGTTAAGGGTGTGAATGCTACTCATCTGAAGTAGCTTTGCATGAGCTATAAGGTAAAGAAAGAGCTGTGGTCATTCCTTACTTGCTTTGCTACCTTCTGCCTGCCATGAACTGTTTCTCTTCTTCAATCATCATATGCCATGCCACCCTGCCTTGGAGTCAGCCAATTATGGACTGCAACCTATACAAACTGCAAGCTAAATAAACCTTTATCCTTTTAACTTTGGGTGTTGGGTGAGAAAAGTAACTAATATAGGATGAGTCCTCAGCTGAACAATCTATATAGAGTTTTTTTAGTATTTAAATCACAAGCAATGTTGACATTTCCACATGTCTCACGAGAAACAGAATCTTACATGCATCCTACATATATATCAAAACCTAGATTTTACCAAGATCTCTGTATAATTTACTTGCACTTTGTAAACAGTTTATTTTAAAAAAAACCTTTAGATCTGTATAATTTGTCACAGAGTGCTTGCCTAGCATGCACAAGACCCTGAGTTTAATCCTTTGTACAATAAAACAAACAAACAGAAACAGAATACACCAAAAAAACCCTTCATACTACCAAGCAAAATATTGACAAATCAAATTGTTTTATATTTTCCCTTCATACTACCAAGCAAAATATTGACAAATCAAATTGTTTTATATTTTTATATTGAGATATGAGCTAATTGTTTCACTTTTCCATGCTAAGCAAAACAACTTTAAAACTTCAGAAAGTCTCATAGAACAGGTAAACTTCAAATTCATAAGAATTTGATGGGACTTATTCATAAGTTAAGCATGACAATATTCATAGATGTCTTTGTCCAAATAATTTTAAAAGTTTTTTCTATAAGCTCTATTTAAGTAATAAAAATATCGCAGTGATAAAAATATTGTGCTATAGTTTATTTGAAAACATTATTTTCCTTTGTAGTACATAAACTCACAGTGTATCTTACCATATGTGAAACAGTGAATTTGATGTAATTCAAACATCAATACCAGTTCAGCGTCACAACTCATCATAAACCATGAACATCATGAATCTTGTTCATATAGATCTATGCATTTGAGATAACTGGATGAATAGTTATAAAAATATTTAATTTGTATAACAATAATTACTTTGCTTATTAGTACCTCACATATTATCTGCAGATGTTTTTCAACTTTATTGAGGTTTACATGATGAAACATTCTATATATTTAAGGTGTACGACTTGACATTTGATATACATAAACATGAAATGGTTAAATTGAAACATCCATCTCCTTATATCCTTATGGGTTTTTTTTTGGTGTTTGGTGAGATGACTTAAATTCAGTTATTTTAGCATATTTCACATATTTCGTGCAATACTGATTACAACCACCACACTCTACCTTAGATCACTAGAAATTATTCATGGGTATAAATGAAATTTTGTTTCGCTTGATGAATGATTGTTTGTAATAGAAGAGTTAATAAACATATCAGCAATTTTACTTTTATGCCACATTCCACTTGGTTTTCCCACTCCTTTACATTTTTCATTTTATTATAAGTGCAAAAGCTTTGTATCATATAATTGATGAACTAAGAGGGGGTGAAGGGAGGGCAGGGACAAGGGGAAAAAATGAGAAGAGAACCAAGACCTGTCATGTAAGGGTACAAGATCCCAATGATGAATGTAACTGTAGTGTATACCTAGAGTGTACCAATAAACTCAATGAGGAAAAAAAAAAAGAATAAAGTTTTATTCCAGCTCCAGATACACTGTGGCTTTTTTTTTGTAATATATAATCATGGTGATTTAAAATTGCATGACAGAACGATAGGAGTGCTGACAAGTTGACAGGGAAACACCTATCTGCATGTTAAATTTGGAGAACCACCTAGAGCACTGTACATCATTATTTAACCAAACATACCTTTTTGGATTGATTGCTTGATAGGTAAAATCTGGACTTCTTTGGATTTATAAATAAAGTTAAAAGTTTTTCTCATATCATAAAGTCATAAATATAATGACAGGTCTACTTCCTTACTAACCAGGGGTGTACTGAGATGAGAGCATCCTAATATCTTGAGAGCTTTATAAAAATACTAAGTCTCAGGCTCCTTCCTGGATTCTACAAATGAAAATATGAGTTTTAACAAATCTTGGGATGATATCTGTGTCATCATTGTTTGAAAATTGCTAGAAGCCCTCCCCTTTTTAATATCCAGAAAAGCGACATACTTTAACACTAGGACCCTTGCTCTTAAACCCTTTTTGAAAGAACTGTGGCTTATACCATTCAAGTAGAATGGAAATCATACATAACTATGTTTTAGAACAAAAATAAATCTGTTTTGGATTCTTCAAAGCCCTGTAGACTCACATGTATTCATGTAATTATGACATTTTGAGGTATATAATAATTATTTTTTTCTGAACAAAGAATGAAAATTATATCCCCTAAATGTGTTCATCTGTCCCTGTTGTACCTAGTCTTTTATTGACAGTCTCAGGATGTTATTTAGCTGTCTTAGACTTGTAGAAATCATGCTGCTTTGTTCCCTGCAGGAGTTAAAATAAAATATTAGTAATTATGCATATTTAATTCTCAAAAGGCCAAGTAATTACTCACAGCACTTAGAAGAAAGAAAATGAGTTCAGATAAAACCTTTCCTTGGTATAGGTTTTCAAGACTGAAATTGTATTATTATGGATATTTCTTCTTAAGATGAATAGGATGAAAAATAACATTTTTCTTCTTTCCTATTTTCCAGATGCAAGACAAAAGTCTACCCTGATGAACTTCCAAATACAAGTGTAGTCATTGTGTTTCACAATGAAGCGTGGAGCACCCTCCTAAGAACTGTTTATAGTGTTATAAATCGCTCCCCACACTATCTACTGTCTGAGGTCATCTTGGTAGATGATGCCAGTGAAAGAGGTATGACATATATTTCTTGTACTCTTTTAATTAGAAAGCTTTATTATGGCTAAAAGAGAGGTACAGTGATCTGTATTTTGCTTTGAATCAACCATCTGTCCAGTTTTCATCTACTTTCTGTTTTGCTCTTCTTCGTCTGACTCTAACTACCCTAAGAAATCATCCGGAATGACTTCCAAAATATATTCTTTCTTTTTCCCAATTTAAGCTATCATATTTAGAATTTATATGACTGGATATGAGATATTAATTAACTGATATAATTGGTATTCTTTCATGTTTCTTCAAGAGAAAAAAGTGTTTTGACTTGGCCACAATTTCTGGGTTGAATTTCCATCATGGAAATAGCCAATCTGTCTTAACACTGTTTCAATTTTTTTCGTTAAATCTTGTTAATTCTTATTGCATGTTACAGATTTTCTCAAGCTGACATTAGAGAATTACGTGAAAAATTTAGAAGTTCCAGTCAAAATTATCAGGATGGAAGAGCGCTCGGGGTTAATACGTGCTCGTCTTCGAGGAGCAGCTGCTTCAAAAGGGCAGGTCATAACTTTTCTGGATGCACACTGTGAATGCACATTAGGATGGCTGGAGCCCTTGCTGGCAAGAATAAAGGAAGACAGGTAGAAATTCATGTGTTATGTCTGCATGGGTTATGACAGAACCTGTAAGGGCAGTTCTAGCTGTCCGTCAGAATTTCTCTTTCAAGTCGCTATTTTCAGAAGGTTTATTTCATAGGTCTCTTTAAAAAACAGCTTTAGTACAGAAAGGATTGACTTCTTCTTGTTGAGCATGAGTATTTTATTAAGAAAAAAGTAAACAATTCAAACAATAAAAGCATGTTGAATATTGGCTCATGGGTAGAGGAAATCAATCCAATCTGAAACAGTACAATATGTTAAAAGAGCACATTTTCAAAGCATTCTCTGTCCTCACAACCACACTTTGAGTTAGGTAATGTAGATGTTCTTCTCTATACCTAATAATAGAGAGAAACAAAAAAGTATACACTGAAAAGTGCTGGGAACGATAATCCAGTTCATGCTACCTGCTCGCCAGCGTTCTCTTGCTTACTTCAGTGTTATCAGTCAGTATAGTTCAGAGTCACCTTGAGATCTTAAAAATAAACATGCACACAAACACTCCCCACTGAAATGAAATCATGATTAGAAAAACAAGCAAACAGAGGGCATAGTTGTAAGTTTCATTAGTTAAGCAATATTTCCACTTTCTACTTACAAATTGTGAAATTTGAAAAACTGAATAACACTTTGTAGAAATTAAGAACTCTAGTACAGAAATGCAGTTCTTTCTGATGATGATGATGATGTAGTGAATCACAGGCTTTTTTGCACACCTTAGTAAATGCTGGGGATTAATGAGTATAATTTCTAAGTGCCTTATGAAGATAACTAAAATTGAACATTGCCTGGTGTGGTAACAAAGCATTACATAACACTTTGCTTGCACAGTCATTTCATGGTCAGAAGATGAGTCTGTGTAGAATTGGAGTTTTTAATTAGACACTCAAGACAGGTACTGCTTAGTCTGAGCTACTTTGGCCACATCCTATAATTGGCAGGACTTGTGACTCGCCAGGAAGATGGATGGAGGCTGTCATTACGGTGAACCTCATTGGTTCAAGAGAGCAGTGGGAACCTTCTATTCAACTCCATGTTGTATGCAACTGACATTTTATTATTGTACACTACCCACAGGAGAGTAAGACTGACAAAGTAAACTTAGAACATCTTAAATACATTTTCTGACAACTTTTTGTACATTGTACTGCTTTTTAAAAATATGTTTCACATTTTAGTTTTTAATGTAAGATTTTATAATGGTCATGACAATCACTATTTATTTTAAGAATATGCATGCATTATATGTGTATATAATAAACTCTCACCCCTTGTCCTGATTATAAATTCTAACATTGTCATAAATAGGTAATAAATTATGTCCAAGGTTATAAAATCTAATTTCTTTATCCTACAAGTTAAATTATTAAATATATTGAAAAAATAGGTAGTATTTTGTCAGGTCAGGAGTCACCAAGAAACTTTCCCAAGATTAGATGAATCCTACTAGTTTCAGAGAAGTTCAGGCTTTAGCCAAGTGTATTTCATGAAGACACAGTTAACAATGATTTTTGATGATACAGTACTTGTGTTAACAAAGAAGAAATAATAGTCAACATTTCTTTCCACATATATGTGTGATTTGGATGCATATGATTATTTTTACTTTCTGCCATATATGAAAAACAAGCACTGGTTCTTCAAAATTAGCTTCAATCAGTGCAATCTTGGCTATGCTTGAACCTGTATTTATGGAAATGGCAGAAGGTTGGTCTCACAGAAAAACACTTAAACTGGGAATAAGAGAAGAGAATGAAGGCAGGCACACCATGGATTAAAAGAGTACATAATGACATCCCCAAGTGAAATTGTCTCACCATAAAAAGCTACTACTAAGAACACAAAGACTTTTACATTTCTTCTTACTTTAGGAAAAAGCAGAAAAAAAAATCAGAGTCTTAAACTAATTACTGTACTTTGCCCTATCTTATAATACTGTCTGGATTCTGACAACTATGAACTCTTAATTCTAGAATCATTCACTCAGAAATTATCATGACTTGATGATCTTTCAAAGAACACATTTTCTTATACGGATAGATCATGGTTTTAATTGTTCCTGGTTTTTATTCTAGTAGGTGTTTTTTTCCATAAAGATATCCTTAGAACTCTCTCTCTAAACCAGCATACCCTATTTGAAATGCAAACTATCAGATCTAATTTTCTATCATCTATTCTCCCCTCTGTGCATGTTATTGCTTTTCAGTGGGTAGTAGCTAAAATGATGCATAATCTCAAAGCAGCTCAACTAATCATTCTGTGGGTGGAGTTTTTATGAAAAATAGGCTATGCTCATCCTACGGAGTTAGTACTTAGGATGTGTTAGGATGTGTTTGGAAATCAGCTTGAAGGTCAATTAGTATAATTGATTAGATTTCACTTTAGAATAAGGAGAATGTATGGAAAATAGAGTCAAATGAAATAGTTTCATAGAGAAAAAATGAAATTAATTTAAAGATATTTAAGTCATAAAGAAATTAACTTATAATATCAGCTCCAGTTTAAAGAAGCTAAGTTTGCATTTAGATGATTACTTATGTGTAAACTGGTTTTCATTTTTCTGCAGAAAAACAGTTGTGTGCCCTATCATTGATGTGATTAGTGATGATACTTTTGAATATATGGCTGGGTCAGATATGACTTATGGAGGTTTTAACTGGAAACTGAATTTCCGCTGGTATCCTGTTCCCCAAAGAGAAATGGACAGGAGGAAGGGAGACAGAACATTACCTGTCAGGTATGTAGATTCCATCTTCCAAAAAGTGGTATATGCATTCCTGTAATAATTAAAGAATATTATAGATTTTGGTCTTCATTTGAATTATGTCAAATCATCCCTATTATATATATTATATATAATCAATAATATGTACATATATAATTATGATATTACAGTTTAAATTAGCACAGGAAAAGCTAAGTATTGATAGAAATCTCAAATATCTTTTGAAGCTTTATATATTATTTATGAAAAAATGTATTCATTGTAAGTTTTCCATTTGCCAAGAATGTGCTATCCTTAATAACTGAAATAAATGCTAAAAGCTAAAAGTGTGTACTTTATAATAGAAATGGTCTCAAAACTGAAATAATTGAAAATACTTTGGTAAATATTGGTAAATATTATAATTTTATTAACCTTAAAGAGCCATCTTCCTTTAGATATAATAGGAAGATCCACTTGGAAATTTTTAATGTATTAGCTGTTGTTAACATTTTATTATTTTTTTGAAATTATTTTAAATAGCTACTTATTTTGAAATATTTATTAATAAAATATGTGCTTATCCTTAATACAAAAAATTATATGCTTGTTTGTATAGATAAGCATTACTTTATTAAAATAAAATATCATATGCTTACTTCAGTACATTTTTGCAGATCTCTTACCTACAACCAAAAATTGATTTCCTAAAATATATTTTGGAACATATTCATTAGTTTAGGTCTTTGAAGATGAATATGGCAAATCATCATTCTGTTGGAAGACAGTCATACCCTGAGAATCTAGAACAATTTACATATAATTCATTATCTAAACAAGGTTTGTTCAGTAACCAACTGAGGACATGATTTATCCATTATCAAGTACTTAAACAATGAATTTATTAAAAATAAATTTGAAAACTAGTTAGTGGAACAAGATAGCCCTAGTTGTTATTGAACAATTAAGTATTAAAAGCTGTCAAGGAATTATCAGTACCACATACAAGAAATGAAATATTGCTCCTAACATTGTATAAAGACATATAAATTACTTTGTGAGCATAATTTACAGCACAATTTAGTAATTTTAAAATATTGTTCAATCTTTCCCTTTACCAAGTTCTGTTAATCCTTTACACTGACTACCTGAGGAAGCCTAGATGACTAATAATGCCATCATTAGAATTTTTTTCTACTTCTTGGCTTCATTTAGTGTTTCTGATATTTAAGCTTCAAAACCCAAGTAAACACTTTCAAAATGCTTCACCAGTACATATAAATATAGATAATATGTCTATTCATGTGAAAATTAAGTGTAAAAGAATGTACATTTGGGCTTATTTTTTTAAAATATGTTTATAAAAGACCTGTTTTGTTCAATTTAATTGTCTCAGAGAGTTGAACAGTAATTAAGTCAGCCAGCATTTATAGTAAGAAATTATTATCTCATTCATCAAAGAAAACTCTACTTGAAAATCAACTATTATTATTCATCTTTAACTGAAGCAAAAGATGACTCATCTAATTTTCTACATTTTAATCACAATTGTTATGGTTTTATTGAAATACCAGGAGAAAGAATAGAACCTTACAATAATTTATTTATTAACCTCAGCATCTCCACATTATTTTATTTTCTAAAATACTGAAGAAACAGGAGCAAGAGAAATGAGAAACCTCAATCTCTGCCTAAGTTTCTAAATTTTTATGGCAAAAGGTTAATTAATTCACTGGCTCTGTTGTAACAGCCTGCAGGTAATTTTCATCAGCATAAATGTAATGTGAACTTTCCTTGTACTTATAATCTATTACTTGAAGATGTGATCATTTTTCTCACATTTGTACAAACAGATAAATCATTCTGGGTGTTGGAGACATTTTTCCCACTTGATTAACAGAATTTTGAATAGCTAAAGTGATTAAAATGAGGTTGAAATTTTTAGTTTTCTTAGCAGAATGTTTCATTTAAAATGTCACTTTTGACAGAATTTTGTAGTCAGTATAATTGGTTACTCATAATTTAGAAATACAATCATGCATCTGCAAATATATTGTACCAACTTGAACTTGTGACCTAAACTCAGTTACACTACTTTTAAAGTGCAGTTTATAAAGGTTATACTAATTATTTTATTGTCAAGATCTCAGCTTTGATATTTTCTTTTCATAATAAAAGAAGTTTGTGAAATAGGGTTTGTGAATGTAGAATAATAGTACACTAATCTTGAATATTTAGTATTTTTTAACCAGTCTTTTGACACATTGGTAATCAAATTATATGACTTTTTAGAAATAGATAGTAATAATCAAATTGTTGAGCCTGAGATCATAATCAGGAGATTATGTCCCAAATATGCTCTGTAGATGTATTTTATTTGGCCTATATAGTACATATTTTTCATTTTCAAAAATTTTAAACTGTTTTTATTAAACATCTGGATAATAAAAAGCTAATAAAAAGTCAAAATACCTTGGTCAACTGGTCCAATATTTCTAACTGGCACCATCAGGTAGCTCTGAATAGAAAATACCTGTATAGAAGTCACATGAAAACTTTGCCCAGGTCCTTATAATCCCTATAATTTTGTCTTTGAGCCAGTTGGATATTTGCCATTTGCCATCATCCTTGTGCTTGCAGAAGTATTTCTTGGCACCTTTGTTTCAATCAAAGTGGAGAGAAATAAATTTACTGAAACCAATTGACTTCAAATAATTAACTTTGTCTGGTTTTAACATTAATTTTGTGAACTTTGACTTAGAAGCTACTTCCTTGTAGTTAAGTCTGACTCTCATTAAACAAATTAACCCTGTATGTATACGCATAAACATTACCTAAAGTAATAGACAAAGAGTATCGAAATTATCCAATAATGCGTATATCACTCCAAATCATTTAATTAATTTGTACATGTATTATGCATTTTCTAACACATACAAATCTGAGATGATTTGATTTAGATTATTATGATTAATGCAATTTTATATGGAAATATACAGGCATACATCTTGATAAGCAAGATGCTACATTCTGCACATATAAAAATGAAGAAAGCAATCTCTGCTGTAAAATTGCTCACTCTCTGTAAATGGCTGTGTATATGGATCATGAGGGAAAGAGGTCATAATATAAGAAGTTAGTGTGGGCACAGAAGTGAGCTATGTCTACTAGAGCTGTGCATTTTTCTGGCTCACATCCTATTGATTGCACAAGCCTCTTAATTATTCCCTGTAGGTGACCCTCAGTAAATAGCCATATATATGTTTCCACTTTAATTCATTACTGGTTAAAATAGATTTCTTTAATAGAAACTTACTGGTTATTTTTCAAATCTGTTTAAAACTTTTTAATCTCCACATCTTACTTTATGGACGCCTTAAAACTTAGTTTTGTTAATATTCTTAATATGTGTAACTTTACCCTTAATTGAAATACCATAGTAAGTGTATTCCTAAAAATAAGAGTTTTCAATTTTCACCAATCATTTCTATCATATTAAATCAAACAGATAATATGATTATCTAATATTCCTAATATGTATTACTTATTTTTAATATCCCCTTATATTAACATTTATCTGCTTGTAATCTCAGCACCTGAAAGTCTGAGGCAGGAGGAGTGTCCTGACTTCCGGCCTGGGCGGCATAGTGAGTCTAAGGCCAGGGCCAGCCTGGACTACCTTGTCAAAAAAAAAAAAAAAAAAAAAAAAATCTCAAAAAAAGAAAAAAAAAAAAAAAAAAAAAGGCAGATCTCACACATCTATTTTTCACTTAATAAGAACTGGGAATTTCTAAAGACTATCAAATAAATTAACATTATCAGTACATCTTATATTGTAACTGCTGTGCCTTCATATCATGAAAAACAACATATTCACATATAGTATCTGGATTTTTTATTCTGATGTGCATTAAAATTGGCTTTGGGTCAGTCAGGTTTTATTTCAAGTTCCTCCACTTGGTGAATTGCCCACTCTTCTTAACTATAAAATGGAAAATTATCAACCCTGCCTTGTTAAGTTCACAAAGTATTGTGAAATCATAAATAAATATATTGAGGAGGAATTGGACTTTAATTTCTTTCTTGATAAAGGAGCATGTATAATTTCCAAACAAATGTGACAAGTATCTAAAATCATAAAAAGCATTAGTATTTTATTATATTTTCTTCAGAGTATTTCTCTCCAGATAGATATTCCACAGCTTTCATTTTGATATATCATCAGAATTTTTCTATGCCATTAATTTTTTTTTCTTTTTTTGCATCAATAAAAATTTTGATATTTACTAATGTTTCTATTACTTGATTAACTGTTCCTCTTTATTTGTAGTCCAAATTAAATAAGGTTAATTTATAATCTATTTTTTAAATTATTTATTCTTTATTTACACTTAATGTATTTGAATAATATAACATTTATGCTAATACTCTTACCTACTGCTAATATTAGCATTCTATTCCCTCTTTAAAAAAATCAATGCTGACTCCACTGAATAATTTATTTGCTATTATAAATGAGAAACACATTTTTTTCTGTAAAAGCTTGTGATTATTCTTATATTTACTAGCAACTAATTATTTCTTACTTTTATATTATATTTTCTCCATTCAAATTTTCATATTCTAACTAAAATATAATTTTTGATTTGAATAAGGAAACAGACATAGATGTTAGCAAAGCCTTTAATGCATTTGTATACAATAAGAAACATTGAAACAACCTTTCTGGGAAAGGACAACATTATGAGGAGAGCAAGTGCTTTGAATTGACTTTGAAAGTTCAACCCTTCAACATTTTGGCATCTTCATGTTAAAATGTAATGTACATTAATTTTAAGAGATGTAAAACATTTTCATCTCAAGTGAAATCTTTGACTTGATATTCTTACTTTTCTTTTTTATTTTCCCTCTGGTTCGGAGGATCAAACTCAGGACATTGCACTTTCAAGGGAGACAAGATGCCACAGAACTAAATTCCCAGACCTTTGACTTGATATTCTTTACAGGAACAAGTATATTAATATTATATTGTG